TTCCCCCTTTTTCCCCTTTTCCCATTTTTTCCTCTTTTTTCACCTTTTTTCTTTTTCTCCCTTTTCCCCTTTTTTCCTCTTTCCCCCTTTTTTCCTCCTTTTTTTACCTTTTTCCACATTTTCCCTTTTTCACTTTCCCCCTTTTTTCCTATTTTCCTCTTTTTTCCTCTTTTCCCCTTCCCGCCTTTTCTTGTTTTCCTCCTTTTTTCCATGTCTTTTTCCTCTAACTCTCCTTTTTTCCTTTTTCTTCTTTTTCCCCTTTTTTAACCTTTTTCTACCTTCCCCCCCCCTTTTTTCCTTTTTCCCCTTTTCCTCCTTTTTTCCTCTTTTCCTTTTTCTTATTTTTCCCCCTTTTTTCCCTTTTTTCTTTTTTCCCTTTCTGTCCCCTTCTCCCCTTTTTCCCTTTTCCCCCTTTTCTCCATTTTCCCCCTTTCCCCCCTTTTACCCCCTTTTTCCTCCTGTTTTTACCTTTTTTCACATTTTTTCCTTTTTTCTGCTTTTTCCCTGTTTTCCACCTTCCCCCCCTTTTTTTCTCATTTCCCCTTTCCCCCCTTTTTCCTCTTTTTCACCTTTTTCCTCTTTTTCACCTTTTTCCACCTTTCCCCCTCTTTTTTTCCTCTTTTTCCCCTTTTTCTCCTTTTTCTCCTCTTTTCCCTGTTTTTTCCTCTTTTCCTTTTTTACCCTTTTTCTTGTTTTTCCCCATTTTCCCCCTTTTTCCTTTTTTCTCCTTTTCCCCTTTTTTCCCCTTGTCCATTTTTCTCCTTTCCCCCCTTTTTCCTCCTTTTCCTCCTTTTTCCACATTTTCCCCCCTTTTCCCTCTTTTCCTCCTTTCCCCCCTTTTTTTCTCTTTCCCCCCTTTTTCTCCCTCTTTCCACCTTTTTCCCCTTTTTCTACTTTTATCCCCATTTTTCCTGTTTCCCCCTTTTTTTTCCCTTTCCCATCCCGTTCCCCCTCCCCTCTTCCATGCACCTTTTTTTGGGGTGAAATTGGGTGAGATTGCTCCATCCCCGGGGGAAACAGTCCCTCGCCCCAACAGTGGCACAGAGGAGGGGTTTTAAGGGGGTTCAGGGCAATTTTGGGGTGTTTTGGTGCATTTTGGGGTGTTTGAGGGATTTCAGGACATCACAGCTGGTTTTTGGGGTGTTTTGAGGTGTTGTGGGGTGTTTTGAGGTGTTGTGGGGGGTTTTCAGAGCAGCATTTTAGGATGATCCAGGACCAACTTTTGGGGTGTTTTGGGGCAGTTTTGGGGCGTTTCAGGGCTATTTCATGGTGACAATTTGGAGTTTTTAAGGGTTGCATTTTTGGGGTGCTTCGACTGCTTTTTAGGGCATTTCAGCACGTTCCAGGGCCACATTTTGGGGAGTTTGGGGGCATTTTGGCCACTGCAGAAGCGTTTTGGGGTGTTGGGCAATTGGGGGATGTTCTGGGGCATTTGGGGGGCTTTTTGGGGTATCAGGGCAGATTTTTGGGGGCATTTTAGGGTGTTTTCTGGGCAGAGTTTTGGGACAGCATTTTGTGGTCTTTCTTGGTGGCATTTTGGGATGTTTTGGGGCATTTCAGGGTTTTTTTCTTTTTTTTGGGAGTGATGGTTTGGAACATTTCAGGGTGGCTTTTGGGGGGGATTTTGGGGTGTTTCGGGATGGCATTTTTGGGGCATTTGGGGGCATTTTGGGCATTTCTGATGCTTTTGGAGCTTTGGGATCTTTAGGGGCATGTTGGGATATTCCAGGACATCATTTTGAGGTGTTTTGGGGCTTTTCAGAGGGCTTTGGAGCAGCTGTAGGATGGATTTTTGGGGTGTTTCTGGGGCTTTGGGGGCATTTTGAGCTGTTTGGGGGCATTTCGGGCCATTGTGGTGATGTTTTGGGGTGGCATTTGGGGGCATTTCAGGGTGGTCTTTTGGGGCATCTGGGGACATTTGGGGACCTTGCAGTAGCCTTTGGGGCAGCGTTTTGGGGTGTTTCAGGGCAGTGTTCCATGGTGATGTTTTGAGAAGCTTTGGGGTCTTCTGGGGCAGAATTTGGGGTCTTCTAGGGCAGCTTTTGGGGTGTTTTGGGATATTTCAGTGTTTTTGGGGAATTTTTACAGGCAGATAATTCAGGGTGTTTCTGGGGATGCATTTTTGGGGTGTTTTGAGATATTTTTGGGGTTTTGGGGGATGGCTTTCTGGGGAGTCAAAATTTTGAGGTCAGTGCTCACCACCCACCTTCCTGCAGGGTCTGGGATGCTCTCACCGATGGCTTCGCCCCCCGGAGCTCCCCCAGACCCTGGCTGCACCCCGGGGACGAGGCCCCCGACAGCACCGACCCCCAGGTATGTCTCCTCCTTGGCTCCCCAAAGCCACTGCCATGTCCCCACATGACCCCCTGCTGATGCTGACAGCTGTCAATCAAGCCTCAAGGCTCAGCATCCACCAAGGCACTGCAAACTACCCAAAAAACGGTATTTTTGGGGTGCCCAAAATCCCCTGAATTTAACCCATTTGGGTGTTGTGCAACCTGTTGCTAAAGGGGGAGAGTAGGTAAAATTTTCGGGTTGTTTTTGGCTAAAAAGGTGAAAAATGGGCTCTGAAAGGTGGTAAAAAAAGAAGCAGCCTCCCCATCCAAAATCTTCATCCAACATCTCCCCATCCAGCATTCCTCTGACATCTCCCTATCTAGTGTCCCCATCCAGCATCTCCATCTGTCACCTCCCCATCCAATGCTTCCCCATCTATCATCACCCTCTCCAGTGTCTCCAGCATCCCCCTCTGGTGTCCCTGATGCGAAGTCCCGTCCAACATCCCTGTCTAACATTTCCCCATCCAGCATCTCCGTCTGTCTGCATCCAGTGTCCCTGTCCAACATCCGTCTATCCAACGTTCCCATCCAGTGTCTCCATCTGACATCCCCATCCAGTGTCTCCATCCAACGTGCCCATCTGATGTCTCCATCCAACATCTCCCATGCAATGCCCCCAGGCAGCGTGTCCCCCTGAGCCGGGGTTCCCTGTGCCAGGGCCACATCCGTGTCCGTGCTCGGGCCATGCCTGTGCCCGCGGTGCCACCAAGGCCACCCAGCCTGTGTCTCCTGCAGCTCTGCGAGAAGGAGGAGGAGGAGCTCACTGAGAGGAGTGAGCAAGACTCGGGCATCAACGAGGAGCCGCTACTGACGGCCGAGCAGGTACCCCCGACCCCATGGGCACCCTGTCCCCCCCAAAGCCACTTTACCCCCCAGCATGGCCTCAGCCCACCCCAGCACCACGGCCACGGGCTGAAAACACAAAAAAATGCAAAATCCCATCGTCGCGGGAGGCGGGTTGTGGGTGCTGATAGGGGGTTGGGGTGCAGGTGGGAACGTGGGGTACAGGTGCAGGATGCACATGGGATGAAGGATGAAAATATGGGATGCGGGTGTGGAGGCGGGATGCAGATGCAGGGTGTGGGATGCTGGAGAGAGGGTGCAGGAGCAGGATCTGGGCTGCAGCTGGACCGTCCGGGATGCAGATGTGGGATGTGGGATGCAGGTGGAGGGTGCAGACGTGGGGAAGGGGATGTGGATGTGGATGTGGATGCAGATGCAGGGTTATCCAGGATGCAGGTGCAGGATGCAGGTGCAGGATGCAGATGTGGGTGCAGATGCAGGTGCAGGGTGTGAGTGCCCAAGGAGTGTGGGGTTTGGGTGCAGATGCAAATGTGGGTGCAGATGCAGGATACAGGATGCAGATGCAGGATGCAGGTGGAGGATGAAGGAGCAGGTTGCAGATGTGGGTGCATGACATGGATGCAGCGTGCAAATGCAGGATGCAGATGTGGGTGCAGGACACAGATGCAATGTGCAGGTGCAGGTTGCAGATGTGGGTGCAGGACAAGGATGCAGATGCAGGATGCAGATGCAGTCTGCAGGATGTAGCTGCAAGATGGCAGGAGGTTGCAGGTGCAGACAGAGGCTGCTGACGCCCTGCAGGTCATTGAGGAGCTGGAGGAGCTGATGCAGAGTTCACCCGACCCGGAGGCCGACCCTGAGGGTGATGAGGATGAGGAGGAGGAAGAGGAGGAGGGAAGCGAGGCCGATGCTGAAGGCAAAGGCGGTGGCGGGGGCACGGAGCCCATCCTGCTGCGGGAGCTGCGTGCTTTCTCCCCTGCCTTCAACAACAACTCCCATGAAGGTACAGCCAGCAAAATCCCAGCTGGTCACTTTTTGGGGGGAATTCCAACCAAATTGGACAATCCAGGCTGCAGGGTTGGCTTGCTCTAGTGTTTGCATGCTGTTTGGCCAGGAGGGGGATCTTAGCAAAAAATTCAGCAAACAAGGATCTTGCTGGTAGCTATGCTTTAAAATGCACCTAGGGTTTAGCTGAGCACACCGTGCATTTTGCAAAATTCCTCAGCACTTCCTGTGCTGTGCATTGCCCTTTTGGCAGGAGGCATTTCACTTACTGCACTATGCATTGCACCTATTGCTGTGGGCGTTTAATTTATTGCACTGGGCATTGTACTTTTTGCACTATTGCACCGTGCATTGCAAATTTTGCACCAGGCATTTCATTTATTACACTGCATTGCACTTTGTGGATGGGACATTGCACTTTTTGCACCAGGCATTTCCTTTTATTGCACTGCGTGTTGCAGTTTTGCTCTGGGCATTGCACTTATTGCTCTGTGCATTTCACATATTGCACTGTGCATTACACTTCTTGCAGCAGGCATTGCACTTTTTGCACTGGGCATTTCATTGCACTGTGCATTGCAGTTTTTGTACCAGGCTTTTAATTCATTACACTGTGAATTGTACTTTGTGGAGAGGGCATTGCACTTTTTGCACCAGGCATTTCCTTTTATTGCACTGTGCGTTGCACTTTTTGCACCAGGCATTTCACTTATTGTGCTGTGCATTGCACCTGTTGCTCTGGGTGTTTCATTTATTGCTCTGGGCATTGCACTTTTGCACCAGGCATTGCCCTTACTGCTCTGGACATTTTAACTTACTGCACTGGGCATTTCATTTCTTGCACCAGGCATAGCAATTTTTGCACCAGGCGTTGCAGTTATTGCACCAGGCATTGCACTTTTGCTCTGACCATTGCACTTTTTGCACTGGGCATCCCGCTAACTGCTCCGGTGCATCTCAATAATTGCACATCTCCAACCTTTTGCTGCACCCCGTTTTGCAGGGCTGGGCCGGCTGTCTGCGCGGGAGCTGTCGGCGGCAGCGGGGCGGGCGGAGG